AAATATGCCATCTCAAAAAAATCACAATGGTAGCTTTGAGTATTCCGCAATATTTAAGTATAGTATTAAGGGGTGCTGTCTACAATAATTTGAGCTATGCATTTTTTTTACTCCGAAGTTGAATAAAATTAGTACATTACGAATTTACAAATTTTATGCAGTTTTGTAGCCCATTAAATTTTAGTACAATAAAGTGCAAGTTTTAAGCGATTGCAAAAGTGGCGTTAATTTTTTTTTTTTTTTAATTTGCATTGAAAACGGTTTTAAGCATTTTCTTCCATAAAAAATATTAAAAATCAACGCAACTTTGTAGTAGCTTCAAACTTCCATTTCACTAGAATTTTATGGACTACAAAACTGAATACTCAAAAAAATTCCAAAAAAAATTTTAAAAAAATTGTCAATTTGTAATGTACTTATTTAACTCAACTTCGGCGTAAAAAAATCATAGCTCAAATTATTGTAGAGTGGGCCCCATAATACTATACTTAAATATTGCGCAATACTCCGAGCTACCATTGTAATTTTTTTTTTTAATTTTTTTTTTTGAGATGGCATATTTTCAAAAACTTTTTTTTTATCAAAAAATTTTTGTAAAAAAAATTTTCAAGAAAAAAATAATATTTATTTTCATAGAGAATTTCGATGTGTGTGACTTTTTTGAAATTTTTTTCTCGCCCCGTTCTCGAGCTATTTGGAAAACTTCTAAATCTATTTGTTTTTGTTTTTGAGCTGTAATGTCTTTAAAAATGTATTAATCAAGCTCAAATTGCATATTTATTTATTATTTATGTTTATCCATCAACCCTAAAAATTTGAAACAAATGAAAAAATCAAACACATGAAGTGTGAACCCCGTCCATTTTGGTATGGAACGCCCCATATGCAGCCTAGCACTTGTATGTTAATATGTATCCATAACTAAACTTTTTTTCGCACTCACACAAAACCTGACAACGGTAACGTTCACGCATGCGCAGCTGTTAGACGTGTTTTCCACACATGGACGAAGTCGTCGACACACAGCTGCGCCGTTTATCAATCGATTGCAGACAGATGCACTGTAAAATAGAAAATTCGATTCGCGAATCATATACAGGGAGATTCGATTCGAACAGATGAAATCCTAAATGTGAAGTTAAATTTAGTTCCTAAATAAGTATGTATGTACCGACATTAGACTGTAGCACCTGACAAGCAAAACAAAAAGTTCGCCGTACTCCCCTGAGTCTAAAGTATATATGCTTGTTAAAATTATAAATAAATAAAAATAAATAAAATATAAACATAGGCAAAATTTAAAAAATAAAATCAGGTTTTTTAATTAAATTAAATTAAAAAAATATTACATTAAAAACAAGAAAAAAGTTTCTAAAAATTAAATGAAATTAAAAATATTTTTCCTTTTAAACAAAACGTAAAAATGAAAAGTAAATTAAATTAAAGACAAAAAAATAAATAAGTCTAAAATTATGAGATTTAAAAAAATATAAATAAATATTTCTATAAATAAAAGAAACTAAAAATATTTTTCTTTTTTAAACCAATAATTAAAAGAATATTAAATTAAACAAAACTTAAAACTAAGATCCTACATTAAATTAAACTTAAAAAATATATTTCTTTTAAGACAATTAAAAAAGAAAACAAAAGAATAAGTTTAAAAAATTTAATTATTTAAAAAATAAGTAAATTTTTAATCTATAGCATCTAAAAGTAAAAAAGTCACTTCTACCGCTTAGACTTTGTTGCTTTTTCAATTTTTCCTAATAAGCAATCGTTGTACAAAGCTCAATAAAAATATTAAAAAGAAAAAAATTTTAATAAGCCACAATAACATTGACAAATACATAGTTTGAGAAGAGCCTGCCTGAAACTATACAAAAAAGCAAATAAGCCAATGGATGTATATAATTGACAACAACAACCACGCTATCGAGTTTAAATAGCTGCAAATCAACTGCACTTGATAGTAGTTGGTTGAATAAGGAAAATGAATTAACAACAAGAGTTTACGGCATGTACATAGCTCAGTGGTTAACGCTTCTGACTTTGAACATCGATTACGCAGGTTCGATCCCTGCTGAAGTCTAGAAAAAAAGTCTGATGAAGAGATGTGGTGATCTCCGAAATAACTGCTATAACTTCTACCGCTTAGACTTTGTTGCTTTTCAATTTTTCCTAATAAACAATCGTGGTACAAGCCAAAAAACATTGACAAAAAAAATAAAAAATTAGACTAAACATGACAGTAATAATAAAAAATACATAAAATAATAATTTACTGTCTTTGAATTGTCTTAAATAAACTTGCAATTATCTCAGTCAGAACTGCCTCGTTAGACTCAGGGGTGTACTGCAAACTTTTTTTCTGGTATGGTCTAATGTAACTGAAATCGAAGATTGTTCAAAACATACAAAAATAAAATATCTTAACAAAAAAAATTTTAATAATAAAAACAAAAATTAAGGCAGAATTTTCAGACATCAATGGACGAGGGCCCAATCTACATTGTCAAAAATGGTGCGGCAAGCGAATTAAGATACCACATACCCACCATTATAATGTACAGTAGCTGACTGGTTGGGGGAGAGAGATTGGATACCTTCAAAGCTAGCGGAAATGTAGACGATGATCGACTAGTTAACCCAGGCATATGCACAGACAATTAGAGAATGCACAACGTTGCAGGTAATATTGCTTCTCAACATCAAAGTCTTACAAATTATAGCTAGGGGCGGCAACAACTGCAGCTATGGCCTCGGGAAGATCCTTCTTCATCTACAAAAGCGACACCGAAACTCTAATAAACTCAGCGGCATTCTTGGAAAAGGAATAGCAAAAATTAGATAAGCGTTTTATTATTGTACCATTATCCATTCTAAAACATGTGCTTAAAAGCCCAAATGTGTTCTTTAAAATTTGTATTCTTAAATATTTTGGAAAACGTATAAACGAGCGCCGCCGCCGCCCAGTTATTTCCATATCTCGGCGGAAGCGCTTGAGAAATTACAAAAAATTGCTTGGAAGCGTAAAGGTACACCCTAATAATATAATAATATTTTTTTTTTTAATTTTTGCATTATTACCTACATATACTTCGCAACAGTGTGTTTCATCGTCTTTCAAATAAACTGCACATTAACTTCAATCATAAATAATCTTACAATTCGTGCGTAAAATTTTACGAACGAAGCTGATGTACTCACATATGCAATATTTATTGAGTAGTGACTGCTCATATAGGATGCGGCATAACACTTACGAGGTGACAGAAAAGGGTAGAAAATAAAGCAAAAATTAAGTTTTTTGGCAAGGTTTTAAAAACTCTTGCCAAACTGTCTGAAAGAGTTCTCGCAAACTCACGATGAATGGCATTGTACAGTTCTTTCAGGGTTTGGGGGTGATGTTTAAAAATCACTGCCCTGTGATAGCCAAAGCTGGTGCGAAATGACAGCTGTAGTCACAGACTTGCCGTTTTTGGAAAAAACACCTCTCCTATCCATGGCACATTGACTAAAAATAAAATCTTTCACGCCACCTAGCCGGCCGAACACCTTTATCTACCTGTAGAAATATAGAATTCCGCACCCGCACATTGGGGCCAAAACTCAATTTAAAAAAATTCTTTTTTGGAAAAATAAAAACGCAGGTTTATTCCCCGTTTTAAATTCTACATTTGGGAGTAAGTTTTCAGCTTTCTATCGTTTTTCAATTGGGAGATATGCGTGTCCAAACTTGATAAATTTGAGCAATTTTTTTCAAAACTGAGAAAGTTTATTTATTTTTTCTTATTTAATTTTGCCTTTTTGATTTTATTATAGTTTTTGCATTTTATTGTTTTAAAAAGAAAAAAATTTTTTTTTTTTTTAATGTGTTTTCTTTTTTTTAATTTTGTATTGTTGTTTTTTTTTAATAAAATTTAATTAATTAATTTTCAATTAATCTTTACTTTTTTATAATTTAGTTTAATTAATTTTCAATTATTTTTTTCTTAGTTTAAATTTGTATAGTTTTGTTCACATAACGATTGTTTTTAACAGCCTAAAGAAATCGTGGTAGATATAGACAAATGTAAACATAAATGCTCAGAATAAAAGAAAAAATTAAAGACTCATTAAATAAGCTTTAAGTTAGAAGAAAATTAATAACCAAATGTTTATCAAAACACATTAAGAAAATTCCGTTAACTGCGGATTCAAACCTTTGATTCCAGTATAAACAAAATATTTCAAACTACATCTTTTCCATATATGTATGTATGTAAATTCATATTTCAAACTTTGTACAAAATTATAAAAATTTCACCAAAATTTCTAACTTTTTAATCAGTAACTCGTCAGTCGGTTTGGATGTATTTGTGAAAATAAATATGTGTTAGATAAACCGACATGACTCCTGGAATGACTCTGAATGATTCAACTGTGTGTAGTCGAAGGCGAGTCAACACGTACACAAATGACTCGCGAGTCAACACGTACACAAACGACTCGCGAGTCAGACGCACTGTGTATGTCGCATATAAGGTGTTTCGAATTTTTTCCATACAAAGTATGTTCGACAATTTTCTTTTATATGGAAGATACTGCGAGCACAAAAAAACATTGACAAAAATCAACGGGATTGTGTAGCCATTTCAAATTTGCATTTGGTAACAAAACTGCGTACCAAAAAAAAATAAATAGTCAATATTTGTAAATATGTCGATGTGATGAGTACCTAACCCTGAAAACCTAACACTGATACCTTCATGTTAATAACTAAAAGGTACATGGACCTTGGTGGAGTTGTTTTCAATTATTTAAAAAATCTCGTATAAAACTATATTTACAAGTTTTGATCTTGTTTTTAAAGGCCTATAGTTATATCGATTGAAATATTGATTAATTTTTGGATATTTTATTCAAATTCATTGTCCATCCATCCAAAATTACCTCACAGCGTTCTGCAATAAGTAATAACACAAGTTCTTATTTTCATTTTCCTACAGATTTTAACCGCCATACTCTTCTCAGCATGTGAAGTCCACGCGGAAAGAAGAAATATGACCACAACTCCCACGGAATATGTCACAACGACAATAGCACCTGCCACCACAACAACAATCGCTAGCACTGCCGAAACAACAATGCCATTGAATGCATCAGAACCTCTACCAACGCTCGCAGCTAAATTAGTACGCCAACGTCGTCAACATCCCTACACCATTGTGCGTCATGTGGTGCGCTCAACGAAGCGGGGCACAAAATCGCGCAGACGCTACAAGTATCCCAAATATAAATATGGACCACCGAGCTATACTGTCGGTCAACCGATATCCTACTATAAACCAATCAAGCAATATTTACCAGAACATGTCCCAGATTCTCCAAAATATTCGGTCATCGATGAATTAGATTTGAGCAGTCATTTAAATTCGGCCGACTATGAAGTGCATCCATCAAGCGGCAATCATTATGAGGAACAAGCGATGGATTTGAATTTTTACAGTCACACCGGTAATGCTTTTCAGGACACACCAAAAAAGGTGCATCATATCGAATTCAGCAGCTATGATGAGGATAAAGAAGTGCCAACCTATGCGTATACATCGACGAAAACCGAAAGACGAAAGCCACCGCGCACCTCGTATAGCTTACCGAAAGAACACAGCGGTGGCGCATATGAAATGACCAGCAGCAGCAGTGGCGATTCTGGCTACGAAGATACTCCCCACACGTTTACGCCACCAGAAAATGTTTACGATATGCACCCGATGAGCAGCTACGAACGACCTTCCTCGCCTGGTGGCAACAAATTCTACGAGTACACTTCGTCGGATACAGGTTCGCCGTCTGACATACATATACCGGCTACAAAGTATGGCGTACCAGATCTAAATATTCCACTACAATTCTCACCACCACCACAAAAGCAACCTAGTTATCATGCGCCAAAAGCGTCGGGAAGGTCGAGATACAATCTTTATGACAAGAAAATACAAAATTCCGGTTACAGTTCCAGCAAAGGTGCAGGTCATCACAATTTCGCCGAGCCTCCGACGAAAACGAATGTCGAGATCACCTATTCGCCTTCGTATGAGATCACTTTGCCGCCATCTAATCACAAACCAACGCCTGTGGATAGCTACCATCCAGCACCCGGAAATTTCGCGGAGCCACCACCACCCCCACCGCCTAAATATCACCCGCCTAGCAAGCCGGCGCATCCACCAGTCAGCTACCAGGCACCCGAACTACATGCGCCACCCTCATTTAGTCCGCCTGAGCCACCTTCACCGCCGACTTATCAGATTCCTGAGTCGCATGCGCCACCCTCGTATGAAACGCCCGAATCCCATGCGCCACCCTCTTATGAGCCGCCCGAGTCGCATGAACCACCAACGTATCAGGTTCCTGAATTAGACTCCCCTCCAGCTTATCAAGTGCCAGACTCACCCGCACCACCATCATATCAAGCGCCCGAGACACCTATACATCCGCCGTCAGGCGCCTTTGAAGTACCCGAACCGCAACCGCCACCTTTATACAGTGCCCCAGAGGAGCCAGCACAACCGCCTACGACATACGAAACTCCAGATCCGGTATCACAATCAGAGTACCCTCGCCCCGATCATGTATCACATCAGGAAGATTTACCTATTAACTCCAATTATATGCCGCCTGCATATAATTATCCAAAATCGAGCTATGAGGTACCCATTTACGATCCCATACCCTTTGAGGCATCGAGCAACGAAGAGCATGAAGCCTACCCACCACATACGTTCGAAAATCACCACACGAATGGTCACGAGCAGTCGGCGTCCTCACCCGTACCAACCGTCAATGGGCCAGCTGCACACGAGCCAACGAGTAGCGAAGAGTATGTAGCTCCTACCAGCACCACAAAGGGACGCAGATCATCACAAAAACGTAAACGCCTGCGCAATAGCACACCCGCTGTCACCACCACCAAACACATACTAGACACACCCGAGTTGGAGGAGGCATTCGAGGCAAGTCAACGACAAAAGAACCATTTGGGGCTTAGCAATGACGCCGAGGTCGACGAGTCGAATCATGTGCAGGCACAACGAAACAAAAATAATGAAGAGCCCAATTATTTCCTACCCACAATCTCGCCGGACACAGGAAGTGAAAACAGTTACGTAAGTACAGCATGGAATCCGATACGTATACGGAGCGCGAGCGCGAGCACACCAACCGCGCTACCAGCTGCGACAGCAACCAAAGGGCAGACGGTATCCGCGTCAACTGTTACAGCGATACGACCGAAGGGACGTAGGTATAACGCTGGTAGAACAGCGTATCGCCAACAGTATGCGCCGACAGCATATACGCCGGTGGGAAATACGGGCACAAGCACACGGCAAACAACAACGTTGAATAGTGGCCGAGAGCACGATCAAGTAGCCGTCGTTACGGTAGACAAATCGCGTTCTTACAGTTACTATGGTGGCTCCTCGTCGACGCCATCGAATGCGAACGAATATAATTTATATCGTATGCGGCCACATCAGCAGCGGCAGCCAACACGAACGCCGGCAGTTACGAGGCAGAGCGGCGGATCGGCGAGAGATAGCGAAACATCGCCGCATCGCACGACGAAGAGTGTCTTTGAGACGACTTATTTTAAGAGTCCGCGCAACGAAGATCTGGAGCATCATCTGGCAACGGTGGTGCAGAATTTGCCGAAAAATCATAAGCTATTTTAAGCAAGCCGGGCGGGTGGGAGGTAGCATAGTTTGAAATATAATTTAACAAAAGAAATTACGATTAATGGGGTTTAGATATTGAAGTTTCAGACTAAAGTTGAATAACCTGAAGACATGCACTTTAATTAATGAAAAAGATCTTCTATGATAAATTTGACGTTTCGCAGGAGTATGGAGTTTTCAAGGATTTCAATAAATATCTTGTTTTTTAAGATACGGCTTTGACTTTTTTACAGAGGTGTATCTGAGGACAAATTAACGGTATATTAAAAAAAAAGTGAAAAACAGGTAAATTTGCTCTGCTCGCGAGTGTCAGTAACGAACACGCTTTTCAGACTAACAACTCTCGTTGGTTGACTTTTCAGAGTTGGCTCTAGAGGTGGAATTTTTGAATCGATTAAATCGAAAATCGATTAACGGAGCTTTTAGTAATCCATTTTTTAACGATTCTAATAAATGTATAACAAAAATTTCATGTTGATTCTGATGTAAATATCACTTATTGGCTTTAATCGTTAAACACAATAAGAATATGAATATCGATTACTTAAATCAAAAGTCGATTAATGTAAGTTTTAATAATCGATTTTTATCGATTCGACCCATCGGTTTGAATAGTAATAAAATGTCGACAGCTAAAATATCTAGAAGGGCCAAATTAATCTGTTTTATACAACAAAGCATGAAAGCATATGAAAAAAAGTTAAATTATTATTTAAACTAAAGTTGGCATCACATAACATAAAGATGAGAATAGATGCTATGAATTTCATTGAATCATTTCAAAAATCGATTTGTTAATTTTGGAAAATTTGGCAACTCTCTTTGAGTTGCATGAATTGTGTTTTCGCGTGAACGTATAATTTTTTGACTCGCTAGCTTCGTCAATATGCTGTACTCGGGATGAGTAACTGGCGGGAATTCGCACAGGAGAGCGGCAATTGGAGAAGCTTTTTGGTCTCGTCCCAAACCGGCAAATAGTTGTAGTGCTAAATAAGCAAACATAAGCATGTTGTTATTTGACTCGCGATTACTTTTCCATTATTTAGCTCGCGAGTTTCATTATTTAACTCGCAAGTTTAAAAATTTTGCTCGCAAATTTCATTATTTAAGTTAAAAGTTTAGTCGCAGTTTCGTTACTTAATTTACAAGCTTTCCTATTTGACTAGTAAGTTTCATTATTTAACTCGCGATTTTAATTATTTTTATTCATAATTTTAGTTAAATAACTCTCGAGTTTCACAAATTGACTCGCGAGTTTCATTATTTAACTCGCAAGTTTCGTTAATCATCCCGAAGTCTCGTTATTTGGCTCGTGAGTTGAGTAATAAAGCATAATATCAAACATTCAACTAAAAAAATTAACGCTCGAGAAATGAAAAAAAAAATTTTTTCTTTAAACTTTTCTTAAATCATCTTGTAGCTCGTGTGAAAAAATGTTTGAAGCGGCAGAAATAATGAAAAATATTTCCTGGCAATTTTTTAGCTTTACATAAGAAATTTAATTTAAAACTATTGAGGCAACCGAATCTTTTGAATCCACGCACGATTACAAAACGATGGTTTACCATATTCACGAACTTTCATCTATTTATAAATTATTTTATACCTTTATTAGCAATTTACGAACTAATAAATATATTTTTATATTTATAAAAAATTTAAATATTTAATTTTTTTTTAAATAAAATTGTTCTGTTCTACTTACGATACGTTCGATAAAATTTCGCCACTTTCTGCTTGTGCTATACATTTGAAAATCGTTGAAGAACACTGGGCCCGATGAGGTAGGCGGTAAGTCAGGTAAGTTTGTATCCAAATTAAAAACTTTGCGACATTTCTCCAACAAAGCTTTCATAACAGGCATCAAAAATGAATATTCTTCGGGATTGCCAACTGGAACGACAAAAATTAAAAAGTAAATAGATAGGAACGTACACAGATTTTAATTTAATTTTTTTTTTTTGTCGAGGGTGTTGCGCCTTTTCTTCCATATAACGCATGAACGAAAACTGTTTTATAAAGGAAAGAGAATTCTTAAAATCAACGATAATTTTTCGCGGTTAAAAAAGTTGAAAATTTTCATAATACTGAATGGAAACTTTGTCCAATTTTTACGAACAATATTTTTATTTCAAAATATAATCATAAATAGTTAAACATGAAAACCTTTGTGAATTTTAACAAAATACAATTTGTTTGTGCACGATTTAAGCTGTGAGCTACTGCATAATCGAAGGAGACACGATTTTATCAAAAACGCATAGTAGTTAGTCTCCCTATTTTAATATAAAACGAGCTTTTAAACTCGATCAGGGGCGCCGCGCCGGAATAATACAAATCGTCAACCGAATAATACAAATCAATTTCAAAAACACTCTTTAAAAACCCACCTTCAATTGCATTATCCAGTGCTCGATTAATGCTGAACAACAGATATGCCAACTCACTGGGATCTTCTGTGCTGCGACTTTGTAAAATTGCATGCAATTTAGCCGTGGCCATTGCAACTACACCCGGATTTGGGTGATAAGAACATTTGAGTAACAAACCCAAGCACAAACGTATCATGTCAGACCAATCGTCTGAAGAGCCCTGCTGGAAAATCATCAAAGCATCCAAGAGAGCTAAAACGCCATCCAACAACTTTGTTGAACATTTCTTTGATTCATCCTCATTCGAACCGAGCACGACCAGATCATAGACCATGCGTAGAATTTGTGAGGCATTCTTAAAACGAAATAAATAGAATTTTTAGTAGACAAATTTCAGGTTTTACACATATGTATCACTGAATTAAAATGCCGCGCACCTCTTGGTTGATCAGCGTTTGATTGCCATTCTCTGACAGGTCGAAGAGTGAGGCCTGCACGGCCATTTCAAGTATGCGCAGACGCAATGATAAATGAGATGTAACTAAATCATTGTTGAGCGCAAGCAAATTTATGCAGCCAAGCACTTGTCCGCGCTCCTTCCAACATTGTGGATGCTCATTGGGAACGCCGCGCCAGAAAACGGTGAATAGTATATTTGAGACCAAGTATACAAGTTGTTCTTCACTATCCACATCTGCTTCGGGTGGAAATTCAAAGCTAGCTGTCGTTTTGTTCTTTATAAGAAAACAAAAAGAAATTTACATATAATTAATTTTTGATGTATGTACATATTCTTATACATATAGCGTCAAAAATTACACTTACTTCTGCATCTGATTTCTTTACACTGCGTTTTGGTGATTGTGTTGAACTATCTGAACTTATAGATTCAGTGCGCTGTCGGGAAAGACTCTGAAATAATACAATTTGGTCAGTTTTTTAAGCGAATCAGAAATCTTAAGAAAGTTACCGTTGTTTCAGCGTCAGTCGTACCACCTAAAGCCAGTGACTCGAAAGTATCTTGAATATCGTGCGTAGTTTGACGTAAAACTGAAAAAACTGACGAAACATTTTCCACAACAGCACCAGAAACCGATTCGGCGAGCTCTGGAAAAGAATATGTCTCTATTAATTAGGGCTTGAGGTTTAACCGAATTTTTCACAGAAATATGTTTTCCGGACATTTAAGTTTACAAAACATATTATTGTGTTAATATTTCCTAAAATTTATTATAAATTTTTTTGAAGTGGTTTAATAAGTTTCTAAATAGTTTTCTTTTAATACGAATATTTTTGAAGCTTAGCTTATAAAATAAATGTTAATTTTCTAGATAGATGGCAACCTTTTTCAACAATGTTTCGGTGATAGAACTTTTGGAAGCCTTTTGTTTAAAAGCGTATAGCGACAACCATATTAAAAATATTTTTCCTACCTTACTTTATTAACTGTTTTCGGCTGTCGGATGGTTGGTTACCCCAATCTATAATACTTTATTTAACTTAATAACAAATCATTTGTTTGCTACTTTTCGAAAATATAGCTTCTCTGAAATCGGGGCAAGACAGCGCAGTCACTAGCGATTCAGACCTTCGCGTGACTGCCGTCGTTAATAAAGTTAATGCCGAAGAAATAAATATTTTAACCTGGCCTATTTATTTTGGAATATCTTTGGCAATTTTCAGTGCTGAGATTTTCTGAGAATTTATCAATCCACCACAAGCATTAATCGCAGGATCTATTTTATTTTTAACCAAAGAGTTTGTCTTCAGCATAGTAGCTCTAACGAATTTTGGCCTCCCACAATTGACTTACCTTTAATTTCGCTTTCAATCACATTAGCTGCCTCAGTGACGCTCGCTTGTATTTCATTCAATATCAAACCGCCGTCAGTTTGCTCATCAACTTGCTGCTTGGCCAATTGATCCAACTCCATTTGTTGTTCAGCGAATGTAATTAAATCCGATTGATTCGCAAAATCATTATTATCTTCTAAAAGCACATCCAAACTAATGCCGAAACTCTTGCGCTTCTCTTCATCAGGCTTCACATTCGTTATTGGCTTGTGTATCAATAGGCGCGCTATAGACTCCTGCCAACCCGATTGCTTAGCTATTGCCTGTGGTGAGTTTTGCTTAACAAATGTTGTTTGTAGTAGACGCTTAGCTATTTCCAACTTAACCGGCAACTCACAAGTGCTGATGTGGTGCACAAGGAAAACAATGCCCGCGTAATCAGCTTCGCCGCTCAACATTTCATCAACTAAATGAAAGAGAATAGTAGAGCTTAGCGTCATTGGTATGGTGTAGGAGAAAAAACCAGGAAAAAGCGAGCTGTCGCTAGCGTTATCGTGCAGACGCAGTATTTGTTTGTATTTTTGATTTACGCGCGAAGTGCTAAGCAAGCTGTTGATGAACTGAAAGAAAAATTCATATCCATATGCATATATGTAAATTGTAATACCACTCGTAACTACATATTGAACTCACTCGAATAGACGCCTCTTGCACCTCTGTGCTATAGCTCTTATCCACAAAATAATTATAAAGCAAATTGGCGGTTTGTGGCTCGTGCAGCAGCAAAATCATTTGATCTCTGCAATTTTTACCCTTAACATGGAATGTTAGCATCTCCAAAAACTCGATTAGCACAATTTCCTGTCGCACTGATGCCAGGAATGCAACCATTGTCGAAATCTCTTTAATATTCACATCTTTTTGCAGGTAAAAGCGCACAATAGCATACAGTGTGGCGCGTATGGTCTTCGCATCTTCTGGCGTTATACTATCCGGTGCAGTATAATGGTCGCGTACCACATCCAAGAAGAATTGTACGCCAAATTTCTTTCGAAAATACTTGCGATCATTTTTGATCATAGCACTCAGATACTGCACATGTCCAAGCGTTATTTGGAAATTCATGCGCGCCCAAATGTGAAAATTGAAAGCGATATCCGTGTATAGCACGTCTAGCAGCGTCGAATTTCCGTGCGAATTTCCACTCTCCGCTTTTTGTCCCTGCAGTGATTCTATGAAAAGATGTGTCGCCATGAGTGCATTTACATCGAACAAGCTGGGTGAACATTTCTGCAACATGGCGCCAATCATGGACAAACATTCGCTATTGAGCATATTCTCCTGGTTGTTATCATGACTGTGAGTTAGATAGCGCAGGAAGCAGATGAAGCTGGCGACAGGGAACTGTATCATTTTCCATTCTGAAAATATGCAAAGAACGTTTAAGGGATAAATTATTACAATTACTATTAAGCAGCGCATACCAGTGTACGAATTTGATGACAGCATTTCCCAATCAGAGAATTCATCTGCAGTTGGTGTACGTAACTGCTCGCCGCTACCCAGCGAATCATTTCCGTCTATGCTGGACAATGAAAAATCATCTTGTTGCTTTACAAGGCGATGCAAAATCGGCAATATAGCTTGTACGCCACCTATACTATTGATAGTATCCTGTATCTTAACTATTGCGCAGTGATGTGCGTTTATGAGCGATGGAAAACGGCCGCCTGGTATAAGATCTTGACAACTTTCGCTCCAATAACCACCGGGTGCATAACAGAATACAAAACGCGATGTCAGCTCGAGCAAATCATTGTCTTGCGAGAATATCGATGGGAAATGTATGCCCGCATCGAATATCGTTTTAATATTTGTGGTAGGTTCTGCTAAGAGAACAGCGCCTACCTGACCACGCAGACAAGTTTGCTCGCCAAACACAGTGTCTTGCATGCCGATGGGAAAATTTTTCACATTCGGATCGAATGATGTCTGTGTGCGTAGTGGTAGTGTAAAATAATTAGAAACCTATGGAGGAGAGTAGTAGAAGCAAGCTTATAGGATGACATGTATGATATATATTTTTAAAGTGTTGTTGTTGTAACAGCATTATGAAGCTCTGCCTAAGTATGAAGAGCGGGCTGAGGGCGTGGAAGACAAAGTCGAAACGTAAGGGTTACTAGTTGAACAATATGACAAGGTGTTTGGTTCGGAACGGATATGATCAGGAAGCAAATGAATTGTGGATATTCTCCAAGACGACTTTTTGAATTCGATAAATGTGACGCAGAGATTTCCGTTAAACAGTCGCGTCCATAGCTAGTGCTTCGCTTTTAGCTCAAAAAAGGGCATTCCCAGCTTTTTGGAGGCCAATAGTATGTTATGTCTACCACAAAGGAGTCGACACGCGATGGTGATCAAAACATACATATTTAGGTAGAAACACTCAGAGACATTTTCCGCTGGTACAACAACATCACACAAACCAGAAGTCACTTACATTAGTTGATAATGTGCGTTCGAGTAGACTTGGCAATACGCCTTTGTATGAACTACCCGTTTCTTGTGATGATGAACGCGGTAAAGGAGAACCTGTAGCACTGGACGTATGATGTTCGGCTTGATGGCCACGCATTGGTACTGCTGCCGAGCCAATTGAGCAAAAATTGAAAGGCTATTGAATTATGAAATACGATAATATTTAAAAATAATTGCGTGATAATACAAAGTATATACAAAGTATTTACCTCACTAATGGCTTGCACTTTCAGCGTAGCACTCAACTTTTGCATGAAATCAATGTAAACATTTATTTGACTATAGGAAAATGGACGTTTGGGAGGTGTGATAGCAACAGTAACATAATGCCATTGCCCGTCGAGCAGTGTTTTTGTATGTACTACCGATGTAAGATATTCGCGACGCGTTAATGCTGCCACAACCAAATTGCCGCTGTTCTGTATGAAAACCTCAAATCCAGTGTGGCTGGCAGTGCGCAAACTGTAGACATTAAAGTGAAGTTACTGACAGCCAAAATAATTATGTAAAGACTTACTTAAGTAACATGCGTCGACAATTTGGACGATCGCTGTCCTTTGCAGCCACAGCGCTTTTATCACCTCTCTTGCTCAATGTGTCTGGCTTCTCTTGTAGCCTTACAAGTATATGAAAAATGAAACCATATGAGCCAGACATTGACCAATTTTTAATATCAGGCACCATAATGCCATCATTCGACGCATTGATAGTAAAGAACTGCGTGCAAATATTGCTATTCGTAAGACTTTGCAATGAGCAGATGACTAGCGTTTGTAATAATTGCTTTGATTGTGGAAACCCGCTTTCTTCGCGCAACAGACTAAAAATACGTTTCAACTCAATGGGAATGATACTAACTTTGCTTAGTTCTTCAATAAGTTTAATGAAATTTTGTATGCAGCTTTCGGCGAGTTTTTCATACTGATGCAAGCACTCACAAACAGCTTTAATGGTGCGATTATCACAAGCGGCTGATTTACTAAAGTGGAAGAGGTTACGTTGTAATTCGTAGGCAAAGTATACATGTAGTAACGAAACACTTACGTCGCATAATTGCTGGTACAGCCACGTAGTATCACATCACTAAGATAAATTTGTGCACGCTCATCCATTTCCGGCAGCCATTCGATTAGTTTCACCACAACTTCCGGTAGCACCATCAAATTGGTTTGTTCATTGTAGGCCATATTGAAACATGCATCCAATAGTGTATCCGTAGGTACTGCTAATGCTTTCAGGCTCTTAAAAAATTTCTCTATTTTATCGTACACACGCAAATGCTCAGCAATGTCAGGTGAATTGCGTGTAATCACCGCTAATGCTTTTGTTGTAGCACATAATATGGGCGCATAATTCATATTCCAGCCCTGTAAAAAGAATACAAATTTAATAAGAAACATATATATCAGGCGATATTTTATGCACACCCACCTTGATATGCTTTGGAATGCTTATTAACGCATCTACAAGCGTTGTATCGGCAATAGCTTCACAAATAATATGCGCTTTTACACCATCGGCGAGGAAAAGACACACATTTTCCACTGTAGCGGCAAGCGCATTAACATCCACAATTGCATCGCTTGCTTCATCATCGCTGGCGATTTCAAAAGTAGCGCCATTGCCGCTTACGAAATTATCGGTAGTTAGTAGCGCTTGTAGAGCATCACAGTAAAGTTGTATTAAAGTAACTAAATCTATTTGGCGCTATTGGAACAGGAAAAAAGGACGGAACTTACAATTTTGAAAAGCTTAAATTATTGCATGCTGGAATACTCACTTCTTCTGGACTAGATTTTTGTAATACAATAACCATTAAAGCACAGCATTTCAGTGAAACTGCACGCAACTCGCTGGCACTTTCCCATTGAGAGATGATTTTCATAATAACCGAAACAGTAGCAGGGCAAATGGCGCGCATTCCGTTACGCTGTGTCGATGAATGGATTGATAGGGATTTTTGTCTTAGTAAAAACTTCAAAACTATCTCAGCAAAAAATCATTTTTTTTTTTCTTGATATGCTATTCAATATTAAATGATTAATGGTCTGCTTGGAAGCAGAGCAGCTTCTATAATCAGCTAACAATTTACTAAATGATATTGAAATAATAAAACAAAAGCGATTTTCGGAAAAAACGAAGATAAATGAGAAAATTTATTAATTTTCAAATGAAACACTGAGAGCATTAAATGGCTTAGCTCTAAGAAATGAGGTGAAATATTTTCTGTTTAGCATTTTAATATGTAAATTCTCTTTACTGAGTGATTTTTGCAGTTTGCATGGTAAAGACTCGAGCCAAAAACGCAAAAAAAAGAAAAATCCGGGAAATATACATTTTCTAAGAAGTTTTCAAAATACATGACTTTTATACCATTTCTACTCTCAAGGCCTCAAATAAGAATATATTCCACAGTTTCAAGATCTTTTCAAAGCACAAAACACCAATTAAAATTATAACAAATTAAAGCGATAGAATGTTATTAACAAAAACAAAGTTAAAAGATAAATACAAATATTAAATAGCATTGCTTTCTATATTTCTCAAAGAACCACTCACCAAATTATCACAGATTTCTTGCCCTTCACCACAATTTGTTGTACTTTTGGTAGTCATAGATGTTAGCGATTTCTGCAAGTGTGTTTGTACAGAATTTGCTATCGTTTTATACATACACAAGTACAAATGTTTTTTTTTTGTTTTGAAATTCAAGTTGTTAAGTGGCAACAAAAGCACAGCACGGTAAAATTAAATACGTATATGAAATTAAGGAAATAAGAAGCATTTACAATGAGGATAGGAAAGGGTTAAAATGCGAAATGTTAGATTGTTGAAAAAGTTGATGGAAAGGCCATAAAACTATGCACAAAGACTAACAAATGTGCTAACAATAATTTTAATAAACTTAATAAAAAAAATTTGTGATGATTTCAAGTATTTAAACCTTATGCACAATTTAGGTAGATATACATTCGATAAAAGAAAATTATCGTAAAAATAAAAAAATGTTAAAAGCGCACACACACCTAAGTATGAACACAAAAACATATAAACAGCGCATAATTTTCACAACTTAAACATAGTCAATAATTAAATATACCCTGTAACATTGCCTACTACCTGTGATCCACATATAACAGCACCTAACGCATTCACTAGACATTCTCCAATAGTTGGGAATTTTGTGATTCCCTCGTTTTGGAAACAATCTGCAACAACAAAGTGGAATGCTTTTAAGTTATTACATAGTCATTTTAATATAAATTCCTTTGCAAACCATAAATGAAGGGCACAATTTCCACATGCACTGTGTGCGGCTTATATGGTATTTTATGATAATCTGCATAGACACCACGCAAGAAGCTACGCCAAGTCAAATAAGGATCATACATTACTTCTAGAAATTGTGAAAAGCTGCGAAATAGATGATTTACTTGCATTGAAGCTTGCTGGCGAGACATACACTGTGGGAAAATAAATGTAATTTAATTTATTATATAAATTCAAATAAAGTCTGTAGAAATAGTCAGATTTAGACCGTAGGTAACATATTGATTGCTGGAAAAACTTACCTAAGCGGGGAGTAGTAGTGGCGCTACAACAACAATAAGCCTAGTCGTTAATTCTAAAAATTTAGTAGATATATCTGAATGTATATATGTATGTATGTACATATAAATATGTGATATCGAAGCAAAACATCGATATTTTCGAAGCATCGATGTTTTTCCGACATCCCTACTTATGTGAACATGGAGGTGTACTTGCATGTAACCAATGTTCATTTGAAATTTAAATCCATAATTATTATTTCACTCACGTCCTAATCACAAATTTGTTGTTGGGTTTTCACATAGTTTAGATTACAGGTTAATACTCGTTGCACTGCTATAAAACCTATACAAATAGGTAGGGGTTTTGTTATCTACCTTTTCCTGGTATAATAATGATTTGCTGATAGCTATTGCAGTGCTGCTTAGTCATTTTTATCAGCAAAAGACATGAATATACCGTATTTTATGACTTTGTCTAGTTATTAAAAGTTTAATGACACTATCTGCAGATATAGATATCTTGGCGGCGGTTTAGTAAAATATATATATATTTTTGTATCATAAAATAAAAGTAGATTCGCGTTTTTGAAAGCCCCAAATAGTAAAGAAGTTCTTCTTAAAGCTCCCTCGATAGTCGCTTCAACGCAACCGGAACAACCCAAGATTTACCTAAAGCTCTTCCTCGTACTAGTAACTACATACATATGTATGTATATACAAAGTGCATGCAATCATGTACCAAAACATTGTCAATATTATTTTATTTTTTTTGTTTACCTCTTTGAAAGTATTCGCCAATATAGCAATCAAATTCGATTTATACTCATATTTTATAACAGCCAAAATATTATCAAAATGTCGACAAATTATCACCAAGCAATCAACCAGCACCGCAATCTGAAGTAATTGCTCATCGTCCAAAGGGCCCTGAAAGATAGGACGCACAACAAGATATGCCTTAACTTACGAATTCTTATCAAATATATATAGGTATGTAGGTATTTATATGATTTTTTTTTTTACATTTACGCACATTTTCGCTAGCATCGCGCGCGATTATAATAAATTTTCCAATAGCTGGTAACAACTCATCCGGTAGACGTCCCAGATGTGGACCATTATCCGGACGCACTTCATGCCACAGCGGCAGATCATCACTCGTAAAATCCACCGGCAATTGGCTCTTCCAGATGTTTACAAAACGTTGAATGAATTCACGAAAATAGGACTCGTCATTCTGTTTTTAATGCAAAACAAAGAAGACCAAAATATAAATAAACACAAAAATTTAAAACATAAATTGGGTAGAAAGAGCGATCTAAAGAGAGCACAATTAGCGTTAAATGAGCGTATGCGGCGATTCCAGAGAGCAACGCAAGGTTTATTTATTTTGTGGGTGGGTTGGCGGCCGCATTGTAATGCAGCTTGAGCCTCAGATTTCGTTGGTGGTGGGCCGCCGGGTGGTTTTTTGTTATCAGTATGTAAATTATGTTTATCTACAATGCGCAATGTTATATAAGCTTATGGCCTTCTAAGAAAAAAGTAATGATAATAAATAGATAAAACCTTGTATGTAGTTAACCAGCGTCTATTCAATTATGGTTATCGTCTAACTGCAATCCCCGCTCAGGGAATTTTAATTTTTTGCACTTTTTTATTTTATATGTGCAGTGTTTATTTGACAGAACTTTGCGTAGGAGAGCAGCGTTGTGACGGCCAATGGTATTCCCCATTCACCTTCTATGGAATTATGGATGATTAATGCTTCAAACACGCCCATAAAATAATTGCGGTTTTCGGTAATTTCGAGGCGCACCAAAAGGTGATAAACTTAACGCTATTTGTGCTTTCCAATAAGCTGCAATTAATTTTTGCACAGCTTTTATGCGTTTTAGGTCTTTTTTCAGTACTCGCCTTGGTCGTGTACTGCACCCACAAATTGTAGATATCCTTTTTACTTTCCATTATGCGACACTTTTCACTGAATTTTAGTTGCACTCATTCAATAGAGTTTGCTTTAAACATTTGCTTTTATTTGTTTACAAAACTACACGAATAATACACAAATTTTTCTTTTCACCGGAAAAAATCGCAGCCACGGAACAAATGCATTTGAAGAAATGTAAATTCACCACAGCTGACAACAAGCAAATGTCAAATGGGATAGGAGCAGTGTTGGAACTTGGCGCATGCGGTGAAGTTACTCCTAAATAAAATCAAGGGTCGGCAAATGGCAGGCTACCCTAGCTACCACAGGGTGACGACCTGTCGTTGGAAGTATACAGCTTCCTCTCCGTTTTTTTTTTTTGCTCCGCAACGGCACCCTTTTTCACCCCCTTCAGCAAGCCTTGGGGCAAACACAAACAAACGTTATTGACAATATAGATGCAAAATGTTCGGCTGGTTTAAATTAGGCTGGGCTTGTTTGGGGCCAACGCTGGCAAGTAGGACATAACGAACAAAGTTTCCGACTTTTCAGAACACCGCCTGCCGAACAGCATTGGGGTGCATTCTGATGTCGATTTTACGCCATCAACTTGCAAAAATGCAATTTTATACGCGATTTCTGCTCATCTCTAAGCCGAGAACATGCTAACACAAGAATGATAGAATACAAGATTGCGCCGATCAGAGAGGATTTTTGAGAATAACTTTTGTGTGACGTCACACTGGTGCAATTGCGAGAGAGAAATGCCAAAACGTGAGCAAGAATGGAAGAAGAAGAAAAAATGTTGCAAGGAAAACGTAAACAAGTTGCACCAGTGTGACGTCATGCAAACCACGATTCTGCCAAATTCGTTAAGAGAGGAATAGCGGTCCGAGATCGGCGCAACCTTTGTATTCTCTCAATCGTGATGCTAACAGAGACTTGCTAGTCACCTCCTAGGCACGTTAGAAAGAATATCTAGAGATCTTTCAAATTCAGAGATCTACATCGCACAACTTCTGAACCCGAAATTCTATAGACAAGGCAAAAAAGATATTCACTGAAAGACAATCACCTCCTTTACTAACTCACGCCCCGTGAATGCCGTCATTAGGTTTAACCATCATCCATCCCAGACGAAGAGCTTCTGTTGCCACGTAAATCTGGTGGAACTAGATATTGTAGCAGGTCTAACTTTTATTTATCCCGACCCAACTTTGTCCAGTTTGTGCGTCCAGCCACCTCATCATTTGCCCTCCGCAACCTTGTCAGGTAACAACATCTTTGCTCTGGGTATGGGTAATATTTGTTTGACCCAGAGAAAATTTTTAATTTTTCATAACTGTCTACAACTTAGGCATATGCACTACAGTAGTGTATTGCTAAAAAGCAGCATGTTACTCCTAAACCCAGACGAATTCAGAAGTATCCCAAATGAAAACAAATCTAATAAGCTTTTCTAGCAACGCTGTTCGTTGACAAATGTATATTGTTCGGGATCATCCGGAAGCAGTTATGGATTTTCCGGGGCCATTTCTGAACTAGTTTGGGCCTAGTTCAATACTTTTTCGGGTCTATTTTGGGATCAGTCCGGAACTTCTTCGGGATCATTTTGGGACTAGTTAAGGACTATGTTGAGAGAAATTAGGAGCTAGTTCGTGACGCAGATGCTTCCATATCAAATAGTATTTGTACCACATACTCACGCCTTTAATATAATTTTAACACCCTAAACAATACGCACTATTCTTTATTTCAATACAAATTACACTGTAGGGAACATATTGAGTTTAGAAATGACACAAAAAACGCCGAAACAAGTAACTTAATATTGGGTCGCAGATAACGAATCTGTATACCGTTATTTATATATTTATATATAAATTTATATATTTTCCAAGATATTTTCATTTTTATGAAAAAATTCAATTTTAACAATTAAAACAATGAAGCGATGAAATGGGCAAGAAATAATGTTACTCATACGCCCATGTAGTACCATACATGGCCGAACTCGTATATGAGCGAATCTCACGAGTTGTTCCTTTTTCAGTGTCACTTCTTTCTCTCGCCAGAATAAAAAACGCTAAAGCATTCTTCTTGCATATATTTAAATCAGTGTTTTTTCAGAAAAAAGAAAAATAAAAATTAAATCAAGTATTTAAACAATTTCAGCCTTAAAACGTTTTTTAGGCGAAAAAGTAACAAAATTACAAATTTTTTCATTGTCACTCGTAAAAATCATAATCATGCTTTTTTTAAAAAAACTTATGTAGAAAATTTTGCAAATCGAATGTTTATATTAGAGGCAATGAAAGTTGGCATCATATACAACATTCCTGTGAAGCTTCAAGAATGTGGCACCCAATTACATGTAGGAGGTAATAAGGTATGTATCAACATATGGGTGTCAGACAAAAGCATTAAGAAGGTAGTATTGTAAAATACTTCAAATTCAGTGCGTGCCTTCTCTTTTGCCCTAGTGCGTTTTTTGATTGGATGAAAAGAGAAGGCACACCCCTGTTGCGCACTTTCGCCACAATTATAACGAGTTGTCCCTTCTTGTTATCTACGTTCTTTGATCCAACCATGTGCAAAACCTTTTCCAGCTTGAATTTGCATATTCTCTCCAAGAACTAGTCTTTCTACTTGTGATTTATTTAAATAAAACATGTAAGATTTGGTTGAAACTTTTTAGCCGTTTTTTTTTTGCCATTTAGCCGGTTGGTCCAAAAAGTTCTGGCAACACTGATGAGCACGAGTTGTTATTTTTTATTTTTATTTTTAGTTTATCTTTTTTAAGTTTTCATTTAAATACTATTTCGCGATGGAATCTTGTTCTTTACACAAAACGGAAGATGAAACACCGTTTAGTCGAAAAATGTAACAACTCGTCAGATTTTTTCATATACTCGGAGGTACATGGCGTATGAATAACATTCTCGGCTTATTCCAAAATCAATGAATTTTTTTCGCATATTTTAGAAATAAATGCTAAATTTAGTGCATCTTAAAAAAAAAATAATTTTTTAAATTATAGGGCCTGTGCCACTCTGGATGGACAACGATGAGGTGAATAAAAATTTTCGAGCCGGTAGGACTAGTGGAAAATTTGACGGCAAACTTCAAACTTACCTGACGGTTTTGATAAGTTTTTTGTTATAATATACGTAATTGCCAAGGCGTATTTAACAAGGTGGTGTTGGCCGTATATAAGTAAAAAATTACACTAACAAATTATACGCTGATGTCCATACTGTCATTGGTATGAGTTACAACAAACACATCATTTTGACGTAATGGCCTCCACGGCGAAAAACTCAGCTGTCGCCCCAACACCACCTTGTTTAATACACCTTGCGTAATTGCTAAGACGTCTTGTGCATTATATTACTTTTACCAGTGTTTTGGATATTTTTGAATAAAATTCAATCGATTTTACACAAGAAAAATTTAACTAATTATTTTTTTAAAATGCATATTTTTTCAGCATGTTTTTGATATTATTCGTGCATATTTATGTGTATTTTTTATTTTATAGTGCATATTTTAAGCGCTTAAAATCGTGTCTTTACGGCATACATATTTTTGGTTGCACAAGTTATTAAATTGTTCATTTCTATTTTTTAAAGAATAAATAATTAGTTGAATGCGATTAATTAGATACTGCTTGCTTCACTTCAATAATCTTTCTTAGTTCCCTGTAGGACAGTAAAGATTGAATATGAAACGCGCACGATAGCCAGAAAGAATTGCATATTCACGGGTTTTAGGCCGCCAGCGGTGAGCTGCAAAAAAAAAAAAAGTTGTAGTAATTTTTTAAGCGCGAATAAAAGCGTAATAAAACTATTTTGGAGTTTTTAAAAATCAGATATAATTTGCATATATAATTTTATATATATAAGTACCTCCAGTGGCTTTTGACCAACAGCCATTATAACAACAATGTACTTGCGAAAGTCCTTGCCCCGATCTACCCAATTGCAATTATAAGCGGCGTGAGCTATATTTAAACCCTATGAAGCAAAGTAAGCGGGTTAATTGTAAACATATACGTAAACATATGTACATACGTATGTATGTGTTAAAATGTGAAATCTCAGGCATAAATATGTACCTCAATGTAAAAGCTATTGGCTAACCAAAAGATAATATATGTTGAGAAAATTACAATAAAAACCAGTTGAACATCTGTAATCATAAATGCTAAATTATATTCCTGCAAATATTAAAATGAAATAAAATTAAATTTAGCTCATGGAAAATAAAATAGAATTTGACTTAACCCTGTTTTGAGAATCTACATACACTGCCGAAACAAAGTATTGGCACAGCAATAATTTTTATTCTAATTTTTTCCGCCAATTTTGTATAAAAATATGATTTGTTCAACAACAAAAAACATAAAAACATAATTCCTAAATTTTGTGCAAACGCAGACGGTTATCTTCTCAGCAACTTTCAGTAAAGTTATCAAAGCAGGGTTAATACTTTGCTACAGCGAATTTGTAGCAATTTTGCATTCCTTACCATATTTGCATAAACGATTATGACGCAAGGTATTATACAAAAAATGCTGACATCTACAAAATTTCCAGCAGAAAATAATACTTCCAAATCCCTGTGAAATCTGAAAAAAAAAACAATTACATAAATACGTACTAGAGGTACGGTTTGCACGTAAACAAAAAAAGTTCGCTGTTCACGCCTGAGTCAAAAATAGTATTTGTATATAGTAATTTCGAAAAAATAATTAAATTTGTTTGGCAGAATCTAGGTGTCGCCTTTTTAGATTTTTTAGCGACACTTTCATTCGACAATAACCACAATTTTTTTTAATAGTTCTACTGGAATAGTCCAAATACTTCCTTAGCAAAAATTTTTTTCTTTTTTTATATTTATATACTTTTAATTTTTTTATTTTCGTTTAATTCTTAGGTTTTATTGTTTATAAAGTAAAGAAATATATATCCATATTTTTTTTTTTAATTTCATTTAGTTTTTACAAACTTATTTTATTTTTAATGCATTTTTTTCTTTTTAGTTTTTATTGTCAGAAAAAGAAATATATAAATCACTTAATTAAATTTTTTTGTAGTTCTTTTTTAATTTTATTTTTGGCGTTTTTTAATAGAATTTCCTTTTAATTTTTGGATCATATTAATTTAAATTTTTGCGTTTTTTAATACAATTTGCTTTTAACTTTTGAACTATATTATTATAAAAAGAAAACTATTTTTTTTTTTAATTTCATTAGATGTTTAGAATTTGTTGTTTTAAAAAAAGCAAACTATATAAAGCTTTTTTTTTTAATTTTATTTTGTTTTAAGAGACCTCCTTTTGTTATTGTTATTGTTTTTTATTTTAAAAAGAAAAATACATATTTTTTTATTCTTAATACATTTTTAGGAAATTATTTTATTTTGATTTTGCTTTTTGTATTAAATTTTTTCGCGTTGTTTAATTTACTTTTATTTTATTTTCTAGATTATATTATTATAAAAAGAAAAATACTTTTTTATTTAATTTAATTTTCTTTTAATTTTTAGATTTCATTGTTTTAAAAGGAAATATATATTTTTAATATCATTTAATTGTTAGAAAAATTATTAATAATTTTTTTGTTTAAATTTAATTTTCTTTATTTTTTAAGCGGATTTCCACCAAGGCTTAACTGCGGTTTATGTCTATTGGAAAAAGGAGATTACAACTCGAAGGGGGTAATTCCACCTATTAAGTAGAAGCAAATGAAAAGAAAAAAGCAAAAATTAAAAAAACCGAAACTTGCCGATCACCCTATGTTAAAATTCTTGGAACTTAATTTGAACTCTTTACTGCCGTTTGGCCTTTGGTGGAAATAGGCTATCAGACAAAATTTAGTTAAAATTTTTTTGGAAAAATTTCGATCCAAACTAATCTTTAAAAAAATATACATACATATGTATTTACTTTTTAAATTTAATTTGATTTGTAGAAAACTTATTGCCAAAAGACAAACAGAATAACGCTACGACCTTCTCGTTAGCAGTTTATTCAATTAGTCTTTCGAAAGGCAGAGAGGAGCTTTCAAGATACATAGTAGCCAAAGTTGGCATCTGCCTTACTTACCAAGACTTTTGTGGACTTGGGAGCTTTCCCATCTTTTTTTACCCCCTGCATATCCCCCTATTACCCTATTGCTGTGCCGTGACATAGCCCCAAGTGGCATAACCCAAACTTTAAAATGTGGCATTATGTCACTCCTTTTTTACTTGAGGATATGCCACTTTATATATATATTTACATATATATTTCTAGAGAGCTGTAAAGGGACGAAATATTTATATTTTTAATAGAAAATTTCTTTTAAATTTTTTGAGCGTTTTTTTATGTGATTTTTTTTTTTCCTTGAGAGCTGGAAAATATGCTTCGGGCTTAAAAGTGGCATTATCCCAAGTAAAAAAATTGGTTTTTTTTTGTCACTCTACAAGGAGTGACATAGTTCCAAATTTGAAAATTTGCGTTGTGCCTAGCATTTTTGCACCGAGAACTATTAGAAAAACTAATACATATATAGATACTTACTTGATGATCAGCACATGCTGTTGTATGCATTTTTTGATACATTCTAAACCTTCCAGCTCATTCAATTCGTGCATATTACCCAATTTCTGCTGCAGATCTTTCATAAGGAAAATACCAAATGATATAGATATCAAAATCACACACAAATAGGAAACATATGACAATAGGACGATCGGAGCAAGCCAAAGGGCTTGCAACACGGAAATTATCTCGTAGTATGGACTTGTGTACAGGTCGACAAATGGCAATCGCACTTCAACTAGGTATTCTGTAAAGAAGTATCGGGTAGTACGGGACGCATTTTTTTGTTTTTAATATTCTTCTTACTTTTATTCGTACTACTACTGCTGGTCAGCAGTTGTATGGCGGAAATATAGAATATACAGACTATCATGATGCCGAATATAGTTTTAGATGCACGTCGCGTTTTTCGTGTGTATTCTTCTAAGTTTTTAATTGTTACTTCGTCATTTTCCGACTACGTAAAAGGTGGAGATGTTTGATTGATTGATTCGTAAGTATTGTTTTTTAAAAATGCGCATCTCAATTGCACTGGAAAATTTATTGAATGTGCCAAACTTACCCGTAATTTGTGGTACCAATTGTCGATATCGTTGAAAAAGTCCAAGAACTTCTTTTGTTTAGATAACACCACAAAAGTGCGGACTGTTATTGTAATCATACCCGAAACTTTAAATAAATTCGCTACCACTTCATCGAAATTATGCCAAATTAGATAAATTCTATAGATGGTAGCGAAACAGCAAAAAGTTGGCATAGCGAGCAAAAAGAGCGCGCGCTTTGGGTCACCCAGATAGCCAACACGCTTCATATACACCAAATTAATGTTGTACAATTGCTCACAAAAGTACATTTCGATGGCGCAGAAGGGTCCGTCTATTTTGATGCAAATAAACTTTGTACATATATCGAATTTCCGCAAAGAACAATGAACGTCCAAGCGTGGAAGTTCGGCTTATATAGGCAATTACGGTATACTTTTCGCACATTTAATTACATAGCAGATCTGCTTTCTTTTGGAAATGTGCAAATTGTGTGGGTGTGTGTGGTCCCACAAAATAATCAAACTAATTACTATTTTGTAGCGTAAAATCACATAGTTAGTTATTCAATGCCAATAAACGATCCTAGCAGAAATGACAAATAATTATAAACCTTTCTTAATTGCTTGCCAATTTATTGTTAAAATAAAAGCTTGAGACTTTTCCAGCAGAAGCTTATGGTCAAAAAGGTAGCTAGGGATATTTGTGTCGCGTTTCAAAATTTGTATTTGACATAGAGAAAAAACTATTTTCCGTATAAAATTAAAAAAACAATATTTTTCGATTGGAAAACTCTATTTCATTTCATGAAACTTCTAATAAAAATAGCCCATTGTTTATTTAAAAAAATCTAACTAAATTTTTACGATTTTTTATGGGTCTTCCACTGCATATTTGGGATTTTTGAGGGACCCATAAAAATTAGTTTATATTAAATTTTTTTTTGAATAATGGGGTATTATTTCTTGAAGTCGATTAAAGCGAAGCAGATAAAAAAATTTAGATTTTCAAAGAATTTATACCATTTCTATGAATTTTTATTTTTTTCATATAAAATACATAGCAAACTTAGAGCAATGTCCAAATATTTTTTTGTTTCAAAAAAGGGGTATACTTTTGGTTTTATACAACAATCCTAGGCGGTAAAAGCATTAAAATTCCCACTTCCTTTGTTTTTCTAACCACCCTAGTGCGCATACATTAGGCATATGACTTTTCTTATTAATTACATATACTTACGAGAAAAAAAAAATGTTTACTGAAAAAAACCATATGTCCAATTATCTTCATCTAAAATGCAAAAAGCTGCAACTAACAATTTTTTTGCATAAAAATTCGATGAAATGCATCATAATAAATCAATAAATAAATTGTGGATTTTTTGTTAGTTACGGCATTTTGCATTTTAGGTGACGATATGTATACATATGGGGCAATTCAAGTCAAATATCCCAAACGCGCTGAGCGGACGAAAAATGGGAAATAAAATTCAAAAACTACGATTCCTACAGATTTTTGTACCGGCTATCCGATGGTGCTATGCGCTTTCGAAAATTTTCCCACTTTCATGGTGAAAATTCGACCGGAAATTTATTTGCAGTTTTCCTCAAGCGAAAGATCAGGTCTTTTTACATAGAAATCATTGATGGAGAAATTACGTTTTTATTTTTCCGGATTATAAAATGTTTTAAGAGTCGCCTCATCGGTTGTTGTCATTGTCCATGCTTCTGCGCGATATACCAGCACGGCCATGTTGAGTGACTTATACATAGAGTTTGATATTTTTACAACGAGAGAGAACTTTACTTCTCAATTGCATACTCCACTTGTTGGTAAGAGTAGTTCTGCGTTTGATTTCAAGGCTGACATTATAATTGGTGTTAATGCTGGTTCCCAAATAAACGAAGTCGTCTACTTTTTCAAACTTGTAACTGTCAACAGTGACGTGTGTGCCGAGACGCGTATGCTCTGACTCAAGGTGTATTAAACAAGGTGGTGTTGGGGCGACAGCTGAGTTTTTCGCCGTGGAGGCCATTACGTCAAAATGATGTGTTTGTTGTAACTCATACCAATGACACTATGGACATCAGCGTATAATTTGTTAGTGTAATTTTTTACTTATATACGGCCAACACCACCTTGTTAAATACGCCTTGCTCTGACTATTTGTGTGATGACAAGAGAAACTTCGTTTTGTCCTCGCTCACCACTAGATCCATTCGCTTTGCTTTTCTCTCTATTTTTGAGTAGGCAGAGCCGACATAGCCCTTGTTATTACCGATAATATCGATGTCGTTGGCATACGCCAGCAATCGTACGCTCTTTTAAAGTATTGTGCCTGAGCCATTCAGTTCTTATTATCTTCTCCAACATCAGATTAACACGAGAGGGAGTCACCTTGTCTGAAACCTCGTTTGGTATTAAACGAACGTATAAGAACGTTCTTACAGAAGAAAATTGGAGGCACTTCAAAGATGCCATGTGGAAATTAAGTTAATGAATATTTTTTTAACGTAATGACATGAATATTTTTTAATGCCCAACTTTGTCATTTAATGCCAAGTGGAAATTCAGCATTACTCTCACATACAACTTTCGGTCGTTTTTCCTGTCGGCCAGCAATTCAAACTCTTCGCACTCAGGTATTTCGGTCCCTCTCTTCTTATTGCGGCAAATACGTTCCGCTTCTCTCTTCATTTCCTTAAAATGGTCCCACATGGTTCGCGTTGCGCCCGATCGCAGCGTGGCTCTGTAGTAGCATCTTTTTTTCCTGTCGTGAATGAAGGTAACGATATTATAAAAAAATTTTATTTGCTTTGAAAGCAAACTCGAAAGATATGTATGAGTAAAGTTACTCAGATTTAAATTGATTTTTGATGAGTAATCAGAATCTGTCTAATCAGGCTTTTTTATTAATCAGGATATTGATTAATTAAAAATTATTTAATCGATTACTTGCATGTCTCTAATTTATACAAAGAGCGTTGGGATTGATGCGTCGAGTACGGCAACGCTCGTCTGCATGTGTCGGGCATTTTAGTAGAAAATCCCAGGTGAATTTCCGTTATTCGGCCTAACGGAATGCTTATTATTCAAGCTATCAAAATCCGTGGTAAATCGATGCATGGGGCGTGTCGTATGTTATGCCAACGAATGCACATCCAATGTGGTGCGCTTAATAAAAATGGCAAGTGATGAAACGGACTCATTTTCATAAGGCTAGACATTTTTAGAAAAGTGCTTTAATTTTTATGAATTTGGGTGTTCAACTTTCCTTTTGCTTGAATTATAAAATATCTGTCTGAGTGCATAATAAAATATATACATTTAAACTATAACTACATACATATGTACAAACCTGCGTTCACAAATATTAAAAAAGCCATCAACAGCCTGCTAAATGCATTTATTTCTGTTTTTGTTTATTATTGTTTGATTTTTTACGGTTTTTTTTTATTGTTTCAATTCTAGTAGCATTACAATATTGTATTATATAATAGTAAATTAATAAGTTTCATTTAAAAATGTTGCACTTTTCGCAAATTATTTGCTTTAATTTATAATATTAGGCTTTCTTCGTTTATTAGAATTTTTATTGGTTTAATGTAGATTTGATTTAGGTATTCAGTTTTTTTTTGTTTTTTTTCATAATTTAGAAGTGCAAATGCGAATGCGTAAAACATATTTTTTTTTAGTTATGTATGAGCGCATATATGTATGTATGTATGTTTAATAATTGTAAAAAAGGAAATCACCGCTTCATACTTTTTACTATTGTTTTGTTGCTTGCGTTTTTTATTTTGGTACAAGAGTAAGTATTTAGGTACATACGTATGTATATGTACTTATTTTGCTCCATACATACATATGTACGTATTTAGAGAAATGTTTTTTGTGAGGCTCTTAATGCTTTTTTTTGCCAAGCTTATATTTGTTAGTTAATTTATGGCTAAATAAAGTCGTTTTAATGTTTTGTATTTTTATCTTTTGTTTACGTAATGCTGCAACTAGCTTTGTTGTTGTATTCTTTATCGCATTAAATATTTAAAGTTTAGTTTTTTCAATACATAACTTTCCTGATTTTCATTTATTTTTATTTTTTTTGTTTGTTTAAGTGTAATTACATACTAGCATTTTAATAAATATGAATGAGACTTTTGTAGAAGAAAATTTTATTCACTTTTTCGCTTAATATTTTTATATGCTTACTTTTGTTTTATAATATTTTTAAAGCTGTGAGTTTGCGTACGCATTTACTTATGCTAACATATAATTTATGTTTACATAAAAATTAGTTTTACATAAGTTAATATCGTGGCCTTCCCTATGCGTTGATTTTTTAATCTTATTTTTATTAAAATAAAATTTGTTACTTACTTACTTGTTTTTTTTTTTATATAAATATATTTGTTTCTTCAAATTCAAAAGGAAATGAATGCATTTTATCTGGCAAGCAAAGAACGAGAGCGCGTGGGCGTGTGAAAGCTTATTTTTAATTTTTAAAATTTACTTTAAAGTAGTTTAATTAGCAACTTTTTTATTTAAATTTTATATTTTTTCCCCTTATTCTTACAATGCTTTTGCTCGTGTGCTTCTTATTGATTTTGCATAGCAATTAAGTTATTTATAATTAGTCTCTAATTTAAATATATAATTTATAATTAATCCCTTAAATTTCCACCAACCAAAACAAAAATAAAACGTTTGCTTTCACTCACTTATCTCCGTCCCGCAATTTCAATTCGCGGTACCCACAACTCGTTTGCTGAAATGTTCGCTTCACTTCGCCAAGCTTGGCCCACAACCTGCTCAATCACTGCTGCTGCTGAATTCCTGTGCATCCTTTTGCATGCTTGTTTGCTTGTTTTTTTTTCTATTTGAATTGCCGGTCTATTACGCTTCGGTTTCCATTTTTCTTTCAATTCAATTATGTTATTTGTGTAAAAGTGGCTAGCTAAATACTTATTAAGTTTCTATGCTTGTTAGAGATTTAGTCTATTTTTGCTTAACTTTTAATTTACCATGTCTTCAATAAAAATAAAAATTTTTTGCTTTATGGAATTTTCTATTTTATACTTCTTTTACTTTTATGTTTGTACATATGTAAATACACATTCGTGTACAGCGTTAGCCGAAATAATAGAAACGCCTGCGAATACAAAAAAAAAAAAAAGATAAAGAAAGTTGGTTTTATATCGACGATACACAAGATCCTTCGTCCATAAATGGAATGCTACTTGCACTGAGCTCAAATTCCTCGGGTGTTATTTTGAATAGGAAGCTTAACTGAAACCGAACTATTGAGGCGGGGGAAAAAACTTAAGTTCCGTTTACGCATAGTAGTTGTTGTTGTAGAGGCTAACTTAGCCCTGGCTAGATCGGATAGTCGCTTAATCATTCTCGTCAAATTCAACTAAAGGTATGCCCAGGAAACGTGCTGTTTCGACGGGTCTTAGAACGGCATTCCCAGGACAATAGTCTGTGTAGGTGGTAACATTCTCCATGTGAATGCGGTCATTTGCCAGAATGTACAGTCCCGGGTTCATTACTTCTTGTATATGGCATTGGATCTCGTTCTTCAGTTCATTGCCCTCTGAGGTGCTTGGGTAGAGATTCCGCCTCGAGCTCACGTCTGCAACACTCTACTAGGAACTACTTGCGGAGCTTGACGTTGTGCTCCTTTACTCACAGAATTTGGGCCTCTCTATGCATATAAGAGTGGTGCTTAAAAAATCAAATGAAGGTTTCTTTTAGGTCGATTGGAGACGGCTAAGGCGTGTCGCACAGGGGAAAATTTTTTCATCAAATAGCCAAAATCGATACTACCATAGTCGAAGATATCACATACAAATTTTGGTTCCGATTGGAGTCGTTTAAGGTGTGTCGCCAAGGGGTCAAACACCAGATGCCTCTAAGGACTCAAAAAATTAAAATGTTTTTTCTTCATTTAATGCCCAAAATCGATACTAAAGTCGAGGTATCATATATAAATTTTAGGGTTAATCGATAATAAAGGGGATGATAATTTTGAGCACCGCTAATTTTGAGTGTCCAATGGACTTATTCCTTACCTATAAGTCCCAGAGTAGATCACTGTGCTAGATAAAATGGCATAGAGTATAGCAAAAGCTACAGTCAACTAAGATTTGCGGAAACCAACCACTCCACGCGGCATTTCATGGCTACCTATGGGTTCGCAGTATAACATGGGATATATTTCCAGAATTGACTTTCTGGTTATTTAGTACGGTGATTAAACAGAATATGCATTACGCATTTGTTTCATCTCGATTAGAGGTATTGTATAAAAAAATTAGTAAAAAATTTATATGTAAAACTTTTTGCTTTTACGATTTCTTAGATTTCAAAACTATGTAATATTTTCCATTTTTTTTTAATAATATTTACTTTTATAACCTTTAAAACGAAAGCAGAACTATTTTTTTTTAAACTAAAGTAAAGACAGCTTCTATATGCTGGTTTAGGTGTGCCAGTGCCAGTGGGGGGTAGCCATACTCCTAGTCTTTGTGAAGGGAAAGGAAATCCCAATCCCAAGACTTCTCATTCCACCAGCCAGATAAGTTCTATCCAAACCGACCGGTAGGAAAATATTGCCTTTCAACTCGGCAAAGCTTAGGTGCTGAAGCGCCTTCGATAGAACCGCATTGAGCTGTATTTTATATGTATGTATGTATACACAAAATTTCAAAGTGTAGTTGCATCGACGACGTTTCTATTATTTAGGTCACAACTGTACATGTTATATGCGCGCTGTGATGATTTATGCCTGTATGTCCTCTGAATACTCGTAGTTATGGCTTAAGCACAGAATTTAATTCAAAATACATAAATTTGACTGGTTAAAAAATCGACTTTTTCTCTTTTTCAAAATACCTTGTGAAAAATTTTCGGGACAGTGAAAAGTACGCCTGCCAAAAGCGAAGCCTTTAATTGAAAATGTAGCTGGTTGCGAACTTTTATTTTTCCCTACAAATATCATAAAATTTTTACAATATTTATTTATAATTTTAAATTTCCTTTGAAAAAAATACCATTTCACTTTATTTACACTGTAGATTGCGTATCTGTACAACAGTTTTTTTTAGGTCAGGTAATTTTTCCAAGGTATTGTCATTTTAAGTTTGCATTGCGAATGAAAAAAAATTCAAACTTTAAAATGGAAAATATTACTCATACGCCATGTACATATGTACGAATTTGTACAAGTTCGGCCATGTTCGATATGGCGATGAGTAAAGCACTCCGCACATTAAACGCCTAGTCATAGTAGTGTAATCGTTCCAATGTACTAAAGTTTGAAGCTTTTATACCGAACACATGTATTTCAATGAAGCTCGGTATATTACGATTCATAATAATGTTTTCGCCTAATCATAAAAACTTCATGAATCGAAGCGCCCAACATTGTAAGGCGCTTGCCGTTTTCATATCGGCATTTTTTTTACTTTTTTGTGCTCGAAATAAAAATTATTTGTCATTTCAGTAGAAAATAATTGAAAATTAATGATTTTGTGCTAAAACTCGTGCCAATTGTATTAAGCCATAAACGTGTATGCAATATTTTATTGCAGAAATGTTCGCGGAAGTGTATTAGTGAGAAAGACCGGCCAGAAAATGTATAATGGCGCGCAAGCAGGCCTTACGCAGGGCGCCCAAGTGTGCAGAAGTCGAGTCGTCATGCATTCGTTTTGACATGACAAAACGATTACTCTACTATGATTAGGGGCGTAATGTGCGGAGTGCCTAACATTCTTTCCTGCCTCTATTTCATACAAAAATTATTGCACATTTTCCTTTGAGCAACCACAATCTGTTTACTTATCTATCGATTTTCATCGTTAGTAGCTTGATTTTTTTTGCAAAGGAACATGCTTTGTTACAATAGAAGAACATTAAAAACATACTTAATGATCAATTTGGCAAATTTTTAAAAAGTTTTCTGTTTCATTTATTGTATGAAATAAATTGACAGACATCGTCAAGAAAAAAATTTAAAAAAAAACAACGGTAAGTCTAAGCTACTTTAGTTTGGCACTAAAATTGTATACTCTAATTTTTTTCTGGCAAATCTAATTAAAAAGCTCGACATTTGTACGAAAAATTGTTGTTTTTTTTTGTAATTTTGCAAAATGTCTGAATCTTGGATTTATAGGGTTTTGTAAAAGAATAAATTACGTTTTTATAAAAAAAAAAATGAAAGATACACAATAAAAAATAGTTAGAGGTTGTTAATAATACGTTACCATATAATAATAAAAACTAGTTGAAAACCAGTGCAAGGTTCCCTCGGAACGAAAAATAAATCACAAAAAAATTTTAAATGTTTTAAAAAAAATTTTACCAAAGTTAAAAAAAAAAATTTGAGTTTCTAGAAAAATGTTGGGTATGCAATCTGCAACAGCCTAAGAGATCGCGTTGAGTTTAAATAATTTTTTCCCAACATTTCGAGCACATCTGCTTACTAAATAAGAAAAAAGCATTTGTTATATTATGAAAAATCAACGTGAACTCTTAAGCACTTGCAAGAAAATATTCTACGACATTATCTACGAAAATTAAAAACAACTATTTTTTTTTCATACATACGTTTGACCTTAACTATGAAGAAATTTTGGAGGAGCGAATTTATGAAAAAATCATAATCTACAGCCTTCAGTTTCCTTCAACTCTATATAACGAGTTATAAAATTTCCAAATTGAAAAAAAAAAATTGTTTCTGTGCTATTTACATAGGAAATAGAAATTCGCGTTTAGTAACCTCTAAATATTAATATTAAGAGCAGCGCTTTTGGCAGGCGCCTCTTTCTCACTGTCCCGCAAATATTTCACAAGGCAAAAGTTCTATTTTTTCGAACCAGTCTAATGTGCCTACATATGTAAATATATGTAATTGTTTTAGTTTTTGGATTTTTGGTTTGTAAAATATAATGTAATTATACCCTGCAAACCAAAGTTCCCGAAATCTTAATAAAATCTTTAAGAGTATCTCATTTCTGTAACGATTTTTTTACGAATTTTCAAAGAAAATTATATGAAGTGGTTGACACAAACTCGTAAAGAAATTTCTGTACGAAAAATAAAGAAAATTCTTGAAAAATTCTGAAAGATATTCTTCACATAGCAGCATTAATTTCGTTGCTTCACAGATTTTCTTCCGAGATTTCGTAAAAGAATGGAAGTGTGCGTAATTTATTTTATTTTAGAAAATTCGGCAAAAAATCGAATTAAATCTTAACGAATTCTTTAAAATTTCTTTACAATGCAGAATACTCTGAAAAAATGGTTTGCAGGGTATGCATGTTTTTATGAATGAGCACTCGTATGTATGTATGTATGTATGCCAGCACGCATGAATTATCAAGAATTATTTTTTTTTAGTATTTATCTGCAGCATTAAAGTATTTATACGAGTGTAACTATATTTAGCAATAGCCTTTTTAGTAGTAGATAAATATGTATTAAATAGTTAGTTTTTTATACTACCAAAACTAATTTATTTTTAATTATTAAATTTTTACTTTTAGTTTGTTTGCCATACGCAAATATCTATTTATGTACTATACTCTAATTCGCTAGTTATATTAAGTCGCTTAATTTTTTTTTACAATTCAATAAGTACTAGATTTAATTTATTAATGTATTATTTATTTAGTAAGCAGCACATAATTACATATGTACGTATGTATATATTGTGTGTGTACATATATTTGTTATTTCCCTTCGCATTGATGTTGGCTTACCAGTAATTATATTAAATTTATTGCATTTTCTTTGTTTTTATTTTTGTTTAGCTTGTGCTGCATCCAAAAAGTACTTAGCTCGATAATTAGATTTTATTTAGTTTTTTTTTTTTTGGTTAGTGATAATTGTCGTGTGGTGTGTGTTCATATCTCTGGTACGAGCTGAGATTTTATTTTTTATTTAAAAGCTAAATAAGTAATTGATGCGCACACATTTCATTGTCCAATGCGAAAACGTATATTATCCATGCCATGGACTTTGCGTTTTAAACTGCTGCCGTCGGCCCAGGAGGAGTTGAGATACTCGTCGTCATCGTCTTGCTCAAGTTTCTGTTGAATAGTAAGAAAGATAAATTTACATAAATATTTTAGTACAAGTATGCAATTATTCAGTGTTTGTTAGTAACAAAATAAAGCTGATCATAAAATGAAACTTTCACCGCTGTATCAATTCAATATTTCTTTGGGTATTAAGAAAAAGGTAGGGAATATTTTCATTTCTAGAAAAGAGGCACTTCTAACCGAATTTCATAATAATTCTTAGAAAACGGATCCAATATTGGTAAACGCTAAATCTGATTTAGACACACTTTGACCCGGGTACTTTCCGTAGTTTTTGTTTAATTTTTACGGCTGTTTGGTTAAAAATGTATACTACACCCCGCAGAACCTAGTTCCAATATTTAAATTAGAAAAGGATTTTCTAATAGCCGATGCTCCTCGGCAGGCAATGGCAAACCTCCGGGTGTATTTCTACCATGAAAACCTTCTAATAAGAAAACGAAAATTTTAATTTTTTTGCCTTTCGAACTTGTTTTTTTTTTTGGTTTGATTTAAAATACTTAAAAATAATGCGCTACAACCAGATTTCTATACGAAGACACTTAAGTAAAAAAAAAATACAATTTGTGCATTAAAATCAAAAATAGTGTACATATTTTGAGAGTTTGACAATGCAAATTCGTTTATGAATTAAGCAAATTTATGCAAAACCTTAGATCAGAATTATCCAAATCCACAAAAGTCGACGTGAAGAGCATTTCAAAAAATATTTTCTCTTTGAATATAGAAAAGACATTCGAACAACTTCAGATTGTAAATATTCGAATCCAAAGTAGTCCCTCAAGTAGACGAGTATTTCCTCTTTTAATAGCGAAAAATCATACAAAACACTCAAATCCCAAATACACAAATCGCAAAATGTCATTGAATAGAGAAAACGCTCAAATCAAAAATTTGCGAGTCTAAAAAGTGTGCGAGAAAAGCATTGATTTGATGACTTCCTTTCTTATAACAAAGGCCTATGGAATTTACTTTATTTCCCCCCTTTCAATAATTATGCTATTTTTTAAATATTTAGGTATGTAACATTAAACTACATACAGCCTTGGAATTTTTTAGAGTTTTTTCGTACTTAGTACCTAACACGTACTCGAACTGCTTACTTTTTTTTTAAGGGCAAAACCATCGTAGACCTGTTAAAAATGTGACGTGATGACAAGCATTTTATTTTTGAAATATTTAAAATTTTCGTGAAAAAAAAAAACAAAAATTAAAAACTAATTTAAAACGAATATTCTCGGAAAATTTACGTGATGGAATTTTTTTATTTTTTTTTCGTGCCTTATTACCTGATATCTAACTATCGCACAGTGTTTCAAAACTGGCATTTAGTGTTCACAATTCACTGAAGCCTCAACTTTTCACTCAATTTGATTAATTTAATTTTTTAAATGAAAGCTAATAAAATTTGTAAGCGACAACTTAAGCCCGATTTTTGAATTTTTGTTTGTTTGTATTCAATATTTTAGTGCAAAGTGCAGAAAAAGTAGCAATTTTGAAGAAAATCTGCTGTTCCAGTTAATAAATGTTACGGAATAAAAACTAGTTGAAAACAATTTTAGGATTCCCCTGAAACAAAAAAATTCACAAAAAAATTTTAAGTGTTAAAAAAAAACGAAAAATTCACCAAAAAAAAAAAAAAATTTAGGTTCTAGAAAAATGTTGGGTATGCAACTTCCAACTGACCAAGAGGTCGCGTTGATGTTAAATAATTTTTTCCCATTATTTCAAGCACATCTGCTTGCTAAATGAGAAATAAAAGCGTTTGATATATTATGAAAAATCAACGCGAATTCTTAGGCCCTTGCAACTTGCACTTTGTTATATTAAAATTTAATGATCTACAAAACTGCATATCCAAAATATATCAATTGCTGACTCTCAATCGAGAAAATTCATAGACATCTAATAGCCAGTTCCAAGAAAGTAATTTAAGTGAATCTAATATAGAAACTATCGGAAATAAATCCTATTCCACTTAAATTGCTTTTGCGAAACCTACAGTATAGGTATAAATTTGTAGAGGACAATTTTTGCGACAATTCTTTTTTACGGAAGAAAATGAGCAACACTTTCAACAAACAAAAATTGCCCAAAAACATTTTTGGGACGCTAAAATGACACAAAAAACCACGCCGAGATACGTTAACTTAGCTCTGTATCTGTATACCGTTTTTCTAGATCAGATCATTATCCCAAGATAAATTAAGAAGAGGAAGAAGAAGAATTAAGAATTTTAAGTTTACATTGCGAATGAAAAAAATCAAATTTTAAAATGGAAAATGTTACTTATACGCCATGACCGAGTACGGCCATGTACGATATGGCGTATGAGTAACATTATTTCTTGCCATATTTCATAAAAAAAACTATTGCACATTTTCTTTTGACCCTTCAAAAAGTGTTTATTTATTTTATTTTTTTAGAATCCAAAACGAAAAGAGAAAGGCACAATCAGAAAGCGAATTTTTTTGGTAGAAACAGAAACACCATAAGCTACTTCAAACTTGCACTTAATTATAGTACTGAATTTGAATGGCCTACAAGACTGTATTCAATTTGTAAATATGTTAATTGTGCCCCCCCCCCCCAATCATTGTATGTATATATAAGACGATTCTATAAATTTGCCATTTGAAAACCTAAGCGATGCAATATGAAATGAGGTAAATTTCCACGCAGGATATTTAAAGCGCACCGGTTATTCATTTAGATATTTTTGAAGATCAAAATTTAGCGTGTACGCCTTCTACATGGAATTCCACAGTAGAATTTGCGCCACGCTTTGTGAAGATGAAAAAGAAATGCCAATAGACTCACTTCTCTTTGCGGTGACTAAAACGATATGCACTCGAGTGTAAGTACCGAACATGGATCCTCTTAAAATGCCTTTGCCAGAATCAGTGCAAACAAATATTGTTTGCATCAGCATTTGTACCTTTAAAAATATACATGCATACATACATATGTATGTACTTATACCAACAACAACTAAATGTGCACAATCGAGCATGCTACTCGAATTCACGAAGCAAGGTCACACTTCAATGCATCTCATTTATGTACATATAAGGCGGGCGCAAAGAGCGGAATATTTCTTGGTCATTTGCTTTGCTCATTACACTAATATGCCAATGTACAAATACAAATGCACAAAAAAAACAATTTAACTGTATGTTTATATTTATGTACACACATACATATTTGGTCAACAAATTGCAGGCAATGTACGGCCACTTAACATTGTAACCAACTGTTAGAGAGCAAAAAAAAAATATAAAAAATATTGGCAACAACAACAATGTTAACACTACTAACGATTGCGACGGAAATGGTGACAGCCATTATTTGCACTCGAGTACACAAGTGCAAAGTGTCAACGCCAATTTTCATAGGGGCCAAAAATGCATTTCAATTGAGGTCAGTTGGTAGTTAAATAGTAGCGGCAGCCTGACACGAGCATACATAAATGAATACAAACGAGTGTATACATAGTGCTTGCCATAAGTATACGACAACCACAAAATGCGAAGTTTTGACTATTTATTTTTTTATTATTTCATTTAATTTTTTCTCGAAGGAAAAGATAAGAATCTCTGAATAAAATTTCAATTCTATAATGGGCTGGATTTCGAACTCATAACGAAGGGACAATACGTTGGATAACGAAGGTTCCGTTTTGCTGGAGAATGGTCTAGTTCTCGAATCGAATAATAACCTATTTCACATTCATTATCGAAGATGCAACTCGAAAAAAAAAAATGGTTTTCCAATCATTTTCGAAATTTTAACCAAGCCCAATGTTTATTGGGATTATACTCCAAAATATGAAAGTTTAAGAGTGATTGAGTCTGGATATATTTCCATGAAATTTGCCACACAGATAAGTTATAACTTGAGTTAAAACATAAAGAGTTTTTGAAGAGTTGCTATCTTTTTCAAAAGTAAAAATCAATTAATTAATAAGTTAAATATAACAAAAAAGTGGTTGTCGAACGGAAGTGCATTCCAAAAGTATTTATTTCGAATATGTTTTTAGGGAAGTTGCCACCTGTAAAAAAGTTAAAGTCAATTAATTAGTAAGCAAAATAATATATCACAACAATGTCGTTGTCCAACAAAAGCGCTTCAAGACAATTTATTTCCAACATGTTTTTATTTTAGAGGGTTGCCACTTGCTCAAAAATAATAAAATCAATTTAAGTAAAAACTTTAGAATTTGGATGAAAAATTTTGTTGTGGGTATAAAACGACAGAAGTTTCAAAAATATTTTTTAAAAGAGCTGCCACCTGTTAGGAAATTCAAAATCAATTTATTTGATATTTATTTTGATATTGGTGTCTAGCTAGAAAGTTGTAAGAAAGCTTTATTTAGAAAATATTGTTGAAGAAGGCTGCCACCTGTTAAAAAATTTAAAATCAAAACAGCAAGTTTGATGAAATTTTTTAATATGTGTACCAAACGAGAGAGGTTTTAAAAAAGCTGTATCTATTTCGAAAGTATTTTTGACGAGCATTGCCACCAGTTTAGAAATGAAAAATCGATTTAATTGACAAGTTAGCTAAATCCTAATATTAAAAGTGTACATGTTTGTGAGCGAGTGAACTCAGCTTACGACCTGGACTAACATATCGCACCCCTTAATCTAAAGTGCAATCAACTCAAGCAGCTATACGAGTATTTTCCGCTCTCGTTTTTGAGTTAGCTCACTATAGATCTACATACGTGTGCGATATACATTTAATTAAGAGGGTTGCAAAACTGCTTAAAAAGTTAAATTATATTTCAAAACATAAATTCAATGAAATTTCAACACATGGGGACCAAACGAAAGAGATTTAAAAACCTGTATTACGTAAATATTATTAAGAGAGTTGCCACCTATTTAAAATTTAAACTTAAATTTTGTTATATTTATTAAATGAAGTGTAACTGGCCAATGAAAGAGGTTTAACAACACTTTATTATGCAAATAATTTTAACAGGG